GGTGATTCTCATATGGAGCCAAGATAGAGAACTGCATCCTTATATGTTGGTCGCAAATGACTGCTGGGGATAGCACTATCATTGTAAAGATATAATAAATACCTAAGGTGAATGTAAAATGAAGTATCATTCAATATTTCCCTAGAAAGGATGATAGTAAGTTCTTTTGTTTATGGTGAGATTTAAGCAGATAAAAGGCTCCTGCAATATTGAATAGATCCTTATGTGATAACTCTATCAAAGGCAATCCAGACAATAGAGAGTAGTAGAAGATGACAAAATATTTTAGGCAAGGTTAGTATTTATAACTCTAGGTGACATGTTGGGAGGGGGTACAGGGATAAAGGGTTCTTCTGTGCCCTGGGAAAGGTGGTAAAGCTCAGCAACTCATACCCACAGGTACTGAAGGTCTCATGGAGGGATGTGGGTGGGGGTGGGGGGCCTCTGAGTGGGAAGGGGATTCATAGGTGTTTGGGGTTCCTTTGTAAACTTTCACTGTAATGTACATGGCTGTGAGATAGCACGTTATCTTCACACATCTCTAATGGTTTTTTTTTTCCCCAGTAAAATCTTTGGTTTATATTTATTTCAAACTTCAAATGAGTAAATCAGAGTTGGCTGCTCAGTTTTGATGTACATGTTGATTTATATTACTGTGCCTAATATGTAATCCATGCTAGTTACATAGTATTTCATTAGCTGCACTGGTTTTGAAGGAAATTTGTGGTAAAATTAGTAATGGGATTATAAATATATAAATTAGGTAACTACGTATAGTATACATTATACCTATATTATACATAATTGTATAATTAAATATAAATTACCATATCTAAACCATAAATATAAAGTTACCATATCTAAAAGTAATTTTTTTCCTTATGCAAGGAGTGATATTAAAATCTTCTGAGTGGGGGATTCAAGAGGCAAGAAAGGAGCTATCCCATTTGTAGTAGCTGAACTTGAGAAAGTTTTATAGAAAATCAGGGTAGTAGGGAATGAGCAGATTCGAATTATTTTAGGCCTGAGAATATTTCACAAATCCCATAAATATGTAGACCATGTAAGTTTGTTTTGGTTTGATTTGATGAATTCTGTTGAGTTATTGACCCTCCTTCCACAAAACACCACCAAGCTGCTCCTCGTTTTTCTTTTGTTGCTTTCCTCTTCTCTGTCCTCCTGACAGAGTACTGACACGAACTCTGAGGCTGACATGTACATATTTAGGTGATACAGAAGGTCTTCCCTAACCAGATGGTTTCTGCTACCACCCAGACAAAATTTAAGGATTCCAGTAGAAACAAATGAGAAAGTACAGACACTTAGAAATGGGTCTGTAAAATCCATGACACCTGTTTACAGAGTTACGTATCTCCTGTTGACTATGTATTTTAGCATTTTCTTCCCTTTGCACTTTGATATCCCCAACCTTCTCTCTTTCTCTCTCTTTTTTTCTTCTAAACTAAGCTCTACAGTCCAACAAAGAGTTGGGCTTGAACTCACAACACCAAGATCAAGACCCTCAAATAAAGACTCGCATACTCTACCCACTAAGCCCGCTAGGTACTCCAGCCCAACTTTTTCTCTTGGTTCTAACTCCTACACCACCCCATTCTAGGTCAGAATCCCTTCTTATATGCTCCCTTTAAAACTGCTTTTTCTTTCAGAACATTTGTATTAGTTTGTCTACCTACTTCAGCATTACTTTATAAATCTATTGGGTCTACTTGCTTATCTCACTTTAAGAAACCAATCCGTCTCGTGACTCCAGGTGGCATAAGAGAAATGCAAACAGCAACAGGAAAAATGAGAAGTAAAATGAAGTGAGAAAGACCTTAATGCTAAACTATTGATTTTGCAAAGCATCCTTTCTGTTCCTACTTCTCACAAATTTGTCGTGTCGTTTTTCAACTAACTGGTGGAGGTGGTGCTTATAAACAGTTTTTTCCTTCCCAGGGCTCCAGAATTTTAAAACATGTTGTTCCTCTCTATTCTTCTACGTAATCCTTCCTGGATTCATACTATGGCACAATTATTACTAATAAAATATAAGACACCACTACAGTCAGGTGTGAGACAAATTCGTAAAGGGTAAAACTTTAGTGATGGTAGGGAACTTAGGAGTAATCTGGTCCAATTCCCACCTTTTAAAGATGAGGGAAATTGAGGCTCATCAAAGTTATATGACTCAGTACATCATGTAGTTGAAGAACCAATACTGGGACCCTGGTCTTCTATTTTCCAGTCAGGCCCTAACTTCTCTTTCCTTCATCCTCTCCTGCTTCCCTGGCATTATAAATAGAACAGGAAAAGATCATGGAAAGTTTTGTGAAAAACTGTTCTTGCTCCAACTAATTTTTAAAATTAAAATTTTAGGGGTGCCTGGGTAGCTCAGTTGGTTAAGCACCTGATTTTCGGCTCAGTTCATGATCTCACAGTTTGTGAGTTCCAGCCCTGCGTTAGGCTCTGTGCTGACAGCTCAGAGCCTGGAGCCTGCTCCGGATTCTGTGTCTCCCTCTCTATTTGTCCCTCCCCAGCTTGCACTCTGTCTCCCTCTCTCAACAATAAACATTGAACAAATTTTAAACAAAATTTTTATTTTCTTACATACGTTCTGTCATCTATGATCTCCATGTCCATATCTATTTGTAGCTTAGTAATTGGACACTGTGAAATTATACCAAGCCAAAAATTATTCAGGTTTTCACAAAAGAACTCAATAGGTTGTTAGTAATGAAAACTTAGTAAGTACTGTATGTCAGAATTTGGTTATGATTAGCTGCTGACATATACATGAAAGCAGATCTCTTGTATTTTTAAGATATTTATTTAATTACTTACTTAAGTAATCTTTGCATTTAAGTAATCCCTACAGTGTGGGGCTCGAATTCAGGACCTCTAGATTAAGTCACGTGCTTTACCAACTGAGCCAGCTGGGAGCCCCAGACCTTTTGTATTTTAGATGACACTGACTTTTGCATTTTCTTCAGAAGGCAGTCCATAGAAGTGCTTCTTTTGATGATTTCTGTTCTTTTTCAGATCACTAATTCTACTTTTCTTTTGGTAGAGTGGCAATGTCTTGAACATTGGAAAAATTATACCCTATTATAAAAATAATCAATATTTCTCTGTCTTGTTCTCATCTGGGAAATGGTACCTATCTCTCAGGTTTAAGTATTAAATTCACAAATGTATTTTAAAGCATGTCTGGCCTAAGGTATGTGTCGATAAGTGCTTACATATTATTTCCAGTAAGAAATGCTCTGATTCTCAACTACCTTTCCCCAGTAATATATTCATCTGAGGCATAAAGAATTGATGGGGAAGTAAAGATTTTTTAGTCAGTTCAAAGAAACCCCTTCCTTTGGTCTCCCAAGTTAGTATTTTTTTCCTCTTTTTCTCTCATACACACACACCATGTATAAATCTTTTCCTAGTATGGGTAGCAGGGTTTTTTTTTTTTTTAAATGAATTGTTGTTGGTATCATTTATCAATAATCATTACAAAGAGTGAGGGAAATGACCGTCTTTGAGTCTTTAACATTTCTCAGGAGTTAGTGGTAAATCCATGATCATACATTTTTAAAACAAATTAGCCAGACCTTGGAGTCCAATCTATTGCTTTTTTTTTCTTTATTAAAGTATTGAAGGATCAGTTGTTCCAATGCTGTAATGAATCAAGCAGCACTGGAAATTAAATCCCAAAAGCAGTGCCCCTTTAGTTTGTTCAGCGGATATTAAGACATTCCGTGAGCCATCATCATACATTTTCAACAGTTTGATACCCAGTTTACTCTTTCAGCAGCCCTCTGGGAAATACCCCGTGATAATTTACTGGGTGGGTGCATCGGTTTTCTAAAAGACATTTGGAATATTTCATAGTTTGACCCCCGAGACACTCTAGTAAAGTAACCGGTCAGAAAACTTAAAGAAATAAATAGGTTATGGATAAATGGGTCTAGGCTTTGGCAGCGTGCCAAGGTTTCATTTAAAAGCTGCAGTTCTTCACTTCTTTACCAAGGAGTTACTTTCTTCCTTAAAGCCTCCCCGGTAAGTTAAGAACACCCCGAAAGTTAAAAACATCTCCAAATCTTTTCCAACTTCCGGGGGGGGGGCGTGTATCCCGTCGTACACAGATGAAGCAAATGGTTAATGGAGGTGGTTGCCCTCCCTGCAATCCACCACTTCATCCGGATCGCTGACTTCTGGGAACTCCCGAAGAGTCTCCCCTCCTCTGAGGAATACACGGCAGGCTACAGCCCTCTTCCGAGAGCCGTTCTGAGTCATCTTGGCTCAGGGATTTTCGAACCTGTGGGAAAATTCACCGCGCTCTCGCGTCCTCCGGTCCCTGGCGGTGGAGTTCGGCGCATGTCTGCGGGGCTTCCGGGAAGCAGCGCTTCGCAGGTGAGTGCTTTGCAGCGCAACACACAGCGTGGAAAGCCTTGGGCACCTGGTGGCGCCCAGGTCTGCGGTCCTCCTCGTGTCCTCCGTCTCCTCGGCCTTCCGGTTTCCCCTCCAGCCTCCGGGGGCCCAACGCCTTACAGTAGGGGCTTCCGGGGCGCTCCCTTAAGGTCAGAGGGGCGAACGGATCACCCGCCCCCAACTCACATGCCAGTGGCCGCCGCCTGCCCCTCTTGCCACCAGCGTCTTTCCTGTGAAGTTTCGCAGGCACCTCGGGTCATTAGAGACTCTACAGGCCACTTTTTTGCCAGAAAAGCCTGAAAAGTCAACAACACCGGGGGGCTTCACGTTCAGCTCCTAAATCTCTGGGAAGTCCGCTTGCTTCACGGTGAGCGTGAAGACCGGATCCAGAGAAAAAGAAAAAGGAAAAAAAAAATTTTATTCACGGTCTGCTTCTCCTCCCCCACGGTGAGTCAAGGCTCCTGGAAGGCTTTCAGGCTTTGCGCCGCTCCATGTTCGTAGCCTTCCTTGAACTAAGTTGGGCGTGGGGCACAGGGGAGAAAAGAAATGTCCTGGTGGGCGGCTGGCTGGACCGGCCATCAATCTCCCGCGGCTGCGCGCAGGTACCGGGCGATATCGCGGTGGCCCCGCTCCTCAGCCAGGTCCACGGGCAGGCGGCCCCAGGCATCGCGCACATCCAGCCGCGCCCCGGCTCGGTGCAGCACCACCAGCGTGTCCAGGAACCCCTCCCGGGCGGCGTCGTGCACAGGTCGGGTGAGGGTGGCGGGATCCGCGCAGTTGGGGTCCGCGCCGTGGAGCAGCAGCAGCTCGGCCACGCGGGCGCTGCCCATCATCATGACCTGTCGGAGAGAGCAGAGTGGTCAGGGCGGCAGCGGGAGCAGCGACACGCAGGCCTGGCCACCAGAGGTAGAACCATTTCAAAGAAATACCTATTCATGAAGTTTCTCACTAACGCAAAGGGGCTAGGAGCCTCGAGACCGTCTGGTTACGCTTCATTGGCTGATGCACTCACCGCCCCCCACCCCCCCTGTCCCGTTTTACACTTACTTTACTCAGCCCTGCTTGAGTTCCATTTCATTCTCCAAACAAGGGGAGACAAGAAAGAGCTGATAATAAAGCACTAATCCTCGTTGTGCAGAAAAAGAAAAAAATCTTGATTTTCGTTGGAACATGGGAATCTAGTTTGTTAAATGATTTATGGGCAGAGTTAAGTTTAAAAGCCTTTAAAGTCTTAAATTATTTCCCTTGATGTCTTTCCTACCTCAGCCATAATCCACCTCTACAAATATTTATTAGGCAGTCAGCTGATATTTTTAAGAGTTAGAGTCATGCTTTAGAGGAGAAATAGGTTGTTTAGTTCTCATAGTAAATCCCTTGTCAGAGTTTTTACTTTTCACTGGCCTGCATGTCTGTTGTCATAAACTGAATATGGTCTGATAATTTGGGTCAAATTGGAGATAGAGGGGAAAAAGAAAATAAGATGATGAAAACAAGTTTTTTTTTTTTAACAAATGATTTACCAGTTTTAATATTTTTAAGTTGGTGTTACAGGTAAGGGATAAAGTTTAAGGGTAATATATTTAATGTAACATAAGCATGTAAAATAAACACTGTATTTACATTGTACAGGATTTTATAATGTAATAGGATTTTATAATGTTAGATGGTAAATAATTTGCTATATAAAAAAGAGCTTGGATGTTAGTCAAATCAGAGCAATGCATAACTTAGAAAAAAGATGTTTTAGAGCAGTAATCCTGTAGCAGCCATTTGTGTATATGTACATTATGCAAGCATTTACTTTCTTGTAATTAACAATAAAAGTTTTTGATAATTAAATATCCAAAACGGAGTTACTTGTTCTTGCCAGTTCATGTATTTTAAAATGTACCATGTAACTGAAAGATAGCATACTACTTTTTTGTTTCATGAATATTAGAAGCATCCATTTCCTCCCTTAAAAACCATGATATGTTATCATTATCACTATTAATGTAAGGTATTTCATACATAGAAGGAAAAAAGGGTTTTTTGTTATCTCAGAAAATGGTGAATTAAAACTATAATTAAAATCTTTTTACAATTATTAATATTATTTGAAGTCTAAGAACTACTTTACAAGATTTTTGCTGCTTCTTAGAACACTTTTCCAAGAATGCAAAAGGAATGGACACGTATTTCCTTTAAAAATCTATACAGTTAACAAGACTCCTTAATAATAGTTTGGTTCTAGAATGTGACATTGAGATGAATACTAATTGTGACCATTATAGTCAACAATAAAGCACAAGATATTGGATTTTAAAGGAATGAAAAAATACATATGTACTCATTAAAGCGAGATTAATAAACATATTGAACAAAAGAACTTTATCAACGAAGAGGCTAATTATTCATGTAGAATCTCTGCCATTTAAAAAGGACCTAACAGTTGCTATAAGCATGCTTTTGTAATCCAATCATTTTGTATGATAATTAAGCAAAAATCCATAAAAGCATTTTTTTCTTATGTAATATTCAAGAGACACTTCTAACATAAAAGGAATTAAATACTTTGATCGAGGAATCCTGGCTCATCTCTTTGTATTCAGTTTGCCTCTATGAAAAAAAAATACAAAGAATTTTATATCACAACCTAGAAGTTCACGGTGAATTTTTTCATGTAATGTGATTCTGCATGATTCCTCAAATTTAATCCGGACTGTGTAACTTGTAATTTAATTATCATTCAAAGTTGATAGATATTTGTTTAAAGACAGACAAGACAAAAGTTTTTCTCCCCAAATAACCTCTCCTTTTCTTCCCAATTGAATCTATCCGTTGTATCTGTGATCATGAGACGGAAGAGAGACTATTGACATTTTTTCCACCACTAAAAAGAAAACCAAACTGAAGTAATGTTTTTTTTCCAATCCCGTTCTTTAGGATCTTTGGGGCGGGAGAACCTGTTTTACACCTAGGCTCCACACCTCCAGGAAGAGAGAAAAAGGGACGTCGGTGAAGATCTCGGTCCCAGTCGCGTCCCACGGAGGCCGCTCCCCTGCACTCCTGCGCCCCCTGCCGGCGAGGCCCCAGGGCCCCAGCTACCTGGATTGGGCGCCTTCCGAAGCGGTTGACTCCGTTCGGATCCGCACCGGCTTCCAAGAGCTGCTGCACAGTGTCCACTTGCCCCCGCGCGGAGGCGTTGGCCAGGCCCGCGCCGTCGCCGCCACCACGGAGCATGCCCTTGTCCTCCTCGCGCATTTCGCAGTCCACAGACGCAGACTGGCCCGGATAATCCACCACTGGCTGTGAGCTTCGCCACACTCCTCCCTTCTTCCCCACCTCGCCCTGGCGCGCTCACCCCTACGTGGGAGAGCTCAGGTTAGCTTCAGCTCTCTTTCACCGCCCTCCTGTGGCTTAGGCGGCCCGTGCAATGGCCGAGCCACTCGTGGCTAAACCGGGCTTTTCCCAGCTCGCTCCCGGGAAAAAGCGCCTCGCTTGGTCGCAGTGGTCCGGCTAGGTAGAGAGCCTGCAAGGGAATGAGTCCGTTTCCAGCTGGGCGGCCGGACAGGGTATTCCCCACCCCCTTAGGCTCCGCCCCCTGTCCGTCTGGCCGGGCCGGGCAAGTCCCCACTTTGCAGGCTGCGAGGCCCGGCCCTCGGATGACGTTACAGCCGACGAGGTAGGGGCGGGGCGCGGGAGGAGGGCGGTGTTGGGAAGCCAGCCCAGACTCTGCTGGGACGCATGCGCCAGACAGGAAGCGCGCAGAGCCTGTTGTCCTGCTCGCCGAGTGTCCTGCAAGGCCTTAACTAAGGTTTGGAAAAGTTGAATCCATGCACTCAGCTCCTAATCCCCTTCCTCCAGCAGGCGGAGCAGAGGATTTCTATTCCTCAGTCCCGTGCCAGCTGCTTTCACTTTGGGGACGTTAGCCGCTCCTTGTATAATTGAATGGCTGGCTGAGAGAAAGGCATTTAAAATAACTCTGTCTCTCCCAAGATTTCTGAAAGTGACAGCTTTGCACCTGTCATGCAGGTTAAATTCACCCCCAGGCAGTACTTGAACTTCACTAGCTTTTCATCTTGCATCAACCTTAGCAATTTTCTTTTGGGTGTGTCTTCCTATTTGAATCAGTCAAAAATCAGTTACAGTGAAAAATCCTGAGAATCCTGTTTTGAATGTGACTTTTATTCTTTTCATATTTGAATAATAGATACACAGCTCCAAAAAACAAACCTAGTTTGAGATTGACAATGGCAAACTGGTGCACGTGAGACATTTAAAAAATATAAATATATATTTTAAGAATCTGAAATTCCAGTTTCATGATATTTGAACAGTATTATTTTTGTTTGCATGCTTACCTATTTAAACCCACTTCGCAAGTATTTGATTTTTATTTATCCTGAGTAATAAAGGAAATTTATGCAGTAATAATGAAACATAATAAAACAGGGGTGTGGTGCTGGGCCTGTCATTAAACAGGCTGAACCTGTCATTAAATCCTCTTCTGAAGATTTAAAGGCCAGTTGCTTTTCTTTTCTTCCCAATCTTCCTAGGTGAGTTTGAATTAACATATGCATTGCTCTGAAGATTTAAGAAATGACAGCTGATGTTTGATTGAAATAGGAAGAGAACCACAAGTTATGTATCTGTTGTCTGAAAGTTTTGGTGAGGAACCACATTACACTGAGCTTCTCTTAACATGGAACAGTTCTCATTTACAAGATCATTTATTGGTTCATAGTGCAGAGGAAGGCAGTTTTTAAGGGAAGGCAATTGCTTGCTTACTCACAAATGAGTTTGTTTCACATGTTTCTTCTAGCATTCCTTAGCTTGGACTCCCTTCCCCCCAGTCCGTTGTAGACTAAAGAAGAGCTCTTTAAAGTTAGGGGAGCCCATGGAAGTGGTGGTTAGGGATGGAGATCTACTGATTGAGACAGAGTTGAAATCCACCTGGATAGGGAAGAGAAGGAAGGCAGTATTAATAACCATTTTTTCTCTCTCTTATCCAACCTCCATCTCTTAGTTTTCTTTCTTAATTTTCCTATATTTTCCTCTTATTTGAACCTCCACACTTACCTGAAAAAGAAAATTCCTTTTATTTGTTGATGGTGGCTCCATTCCTTGGCCCGGCCAGAGGAATAGAAGTCTATTTCTGGATGAAAAGAATAGATGAGCTTTTTTTTCTCCAGTCTTTGGGGCCAGTCCCCACCCACAGTGTACTGGGGATTGCAGATATGTAGGTAGAATGGGAGAGGGAAGAGGAAATATGGACAGTGGGAAGTCAGAGTTTTTTGGTAGTCACTCTGAGGGGCTGAGTCATCAGACTCATATAGGTGGATGCAGTAGCAAATGTCTTTATCAGAATATCTTCATCATAGTATCTTCATCAGAATAGCCTGGCTACCCTGAAATTTAGTGCACAGCGAAAGGTAACAAGGCAGGTTGCTTTTAAAGGAGTGTTGTTCAGATATTTCTTCTAATGGGTCCAGTAATTAAATTAGTTCAACGAAATTTAGCTCCAGCATATCCTATATTCTAGGAGTCCACAACTGAGTAAGATATGGGTGCTAGATTTTAAGAAAGTCTCCCTGGTGTCACTCAAAACGAATAGAGAGTTTCAATTTAATGTGATAACTTTACTGTGGATGTACCTATAGGATATTTTGGGAGTAAGAAGGGGGGAACTTGACTCAAGATGGAGATGCAGGGGATTTCCTAGAGGCGTCGCCAGATGAAGAGCCTTTAGAGAATGCATCATTAATTGTTTCTTGTGTTCTAGCTTTGAGCTTTGGGTTTCTCTGAAACTCAACAAAAAGGGTAGAAAAAGATAGCATGAACCAATTTTTGAGCCACCTTCTTAAGTGGTAAGCATGGCCAAAGTGTCTGAAAAATAAAAACTATTTGGAGTTGATAAAGAGATTGGAGAAAATTGTTTTTAGTTGTAGGGGACATAGATAAAGAGTGGCAAGATAGGGAAAAAGCCAGTTAGCGGAATGAGTAAGAATCTTCAGCGAGGCAGCTAATGTGAGAGATTCACCACGTAAGTTGACAGGAAAAGAATTTGGGCGGGGGAAATGTTGCCAGCGTTACATACGATTGCTAGCACCACGGACAGCGCTTTCCTAGTAAGCGTGTGTGGGTGGTCCTAACCCACTCCAGACTGAGAATTGCTGAGAAAGCTTCACACATGATCTTTCAAACCCTTTTTCTCTCCTGAAATTCAAAGAAAGCCACATGGAAACTCAATGAGCTTCTTTACGAAACATCTTTACAATGAACTGCTCGATCTGGTTTCCAAATACTACTGGATTATCTAATATTCTCTATGTAAAGAACATTAAATATCCTCTATATTTAAAAGAAGAGAGATCACACCTCAATGTCTACCCTGTTCCAAGTGCTTTACAAGCATTATTTCATTTAACTCTTGTAACACCCCTATGCAAAATGCATTAGTTTCTCAATTTTACAGACAAGACCAAAGATTCAGAGAAAGTAACTTGCATACTAACTAAGCATTTTTGGAGGTAGGGTCTGACCTGTGTGGCTTCAGTGCCTCTATCCATAACACTACATAGTGTTTTTAGCAGCTGTCATGGTAGGCTTAACTGGGGAAAAAATGCAATTAACTGGATTATAATTATTTTCCAGTCTACATTGTGTTTTCCAAATGGCTCACCTCACAGCACACCCTTAATAGACTTCAAAGATGACATTTCACACGTAATACAATAGCACATTTGTCTTGGACAATAGGGTGAGATAATGAAACATTTTACCTCTCCCTGAAACCTAGCTGTCTCTAGGATGAAACACAACCTATTGTTAATGCTTTAAACACATTTAAGAGATGAAGTGGATGGGAACATAGTGGGCAGCTGAAACTTAGAATTGTCACAGCTATGCCATTTAATAGGGTGGATAGTTTATAAGTGAGAAAAGAGAGGAAGTAAATGGTAAACTGACATAGAATTTCGGAGGTAAATAGAAGGGAATGAATAAATAGAATCAGTTTCAAAATAATAAATAATGCAAATGTCTAGTGACAATGTTTATATTCTAGTTGGTGAAACTGTATATGAACTCACTATGAAGGTGTGAATAGAATCGGTTGAATGACCAAGAGAGATAATGACATAACTTTGCATATGGTTGGATCCATGGTTTCTAAGTGGAGAGAGAGGGAATTAAAAATCATTTTGGGGACTTTTTCAAACTATATATGACCCACCTCCCATCAGGAGGCTTGATTCTCTCCATTTCATCAGTTGAGATGTATGTTTCAGGATTCATAGGGTATCTCTTTCTATATTCCCATATATATTTCTTAACTTTTATTGAACAGTGGATATTTTAGCATCTGTATGAATTTTCCAAGGCTGCCATAGAAAAGTACCACAGACTAGTTGGCTTAAACAATAGAAATTTATTTTGGTTTTGGTTTCTCACAGTTTTGGTTTCTCCTGAGGCCTGTCTCCTTGCCTTGCAGGTGGTCACATTCCTGCTGCCTTTTCACATAGGCATCCTGTGTGCATGTAAGCTCCTGGTAATCTCTTGTGTATCCAAATTCCCTCTTCTTATAAAGACACCAGTCAGATTGGATTAGAACCTACCCCAAAAGTCTCATTTTAACTTAATCACTTCTTTAAATGCCCTATCTTCTAGTATAGTCACAGTCTGAGATAGTGGGGGTTAAAGATTTAACATGTGAATTTTGGAGAGACACAATTCAGTCCATAATGGAATCTTTCCCAGTTTTTACACATATCATTTCTGTTAATAATGTATTTATTTGAATAAGGATGAAAATAATATCAACACATTGAAATTTGTTGATATTGATACCAGTCTCTTTTATCTCTGTTTATTTTTTATTTATTTCTTAATTATTTTATTTTTTAAAATGTTTATTTATTTATTTTGAGAGGGGGGTGGGAAGGACAGAGAGAGAGAGAGAGAGAGAGAGAGAGAGAGAGAGAGAATCCCAAGCAGGCTCTGTGCTGTCAGTGCAGACCCTGATGCAGGGCTTGATCTCATGATCTCTTGAATAGTGACATCATGACCTGAGGTGAAATTAAGGGTTGGATGCTTAACTGACTGAGCCACCCAGGAACCCAAAGATTTTATTTTTAAATAATCTCTACACCCAACATGGGGTCAAACTCACAACCCAGAGATCAAAAGTCTCATGCTCTAACTTACTGACTGAGCCAGTCAGGCACCCCAACTTGTGTCTCTTTTAATCTGTAGATTCTCTTCTTTATTCC